CTCAGGCAGTAGTGCAGCGTATTCTAAATCGCCCGGTACCAGGTCGGTCGCCAATGCTCCTTCGATAAGTTGGGTCTCTGCTTGCAGTGCAGAAGGCTGCCAGATCATCGCGGTAGCGAGAATGACGAACGTATAGATCACAGGGCGAATCGTCATAGTCAGCACTCGTCGGTCGAGGTCAGGGAGAAGCAGTTTGTACGGAAGCTGAAAGATGCAACAACTCTGCAAGCTCACGACACCATACGGCCATACTTTCGGCATCGCCCACAGTGTAGGCATGTTGCCACAGGGCGTCACGTTGCTCGAGTGAAAGCCGCTCGGATAACCGATCGAATTTCTCCCGATAGTCGGCCTCCACTGGTTCATAAGGGTCGCTGAGCGTCTTCAACGAGTAGCGAGCTTCCATCACGCGTCCGTCGTTCATTTCAACCGTCAGCAGCCCTGCCCTGGCCGGGTCGAAAACGGGACGAACCCTTCGGGCTAAATCCAGCGCACGTTCGTTAGCGATCTTCTCCGCGGTGTATTGCCCCAGGAAGGCATCACCCTCGAGTAGCAGAAACGCAATGCCCAGGTTCACACTCATTTGGGCGTCGATGACGCTCACCGGAGGTTTGAAGTCGGCAATCTTCTGGAAGTAGAGTGTCTCGGACGATTGGGGGAGGTAGACCGAGATCCGTTTGACCTCCGCCACATCGAGGGAACGCTCATCCAAGATCTCTTCCAGCGTTTCGAGCCAGGGAATAACCCCCTGCGAGCACGAATAAAACTTCGGCTTCACGTGCATCACCGCGTCCCATCGTTGCAGATTTTCGGTCAGTTGCTCGGGGTCGGCCTTAAAGCCTAAGGCGGCAAACAAACCCGCCGGTCCGTCGATGCTACCGGGGGCTCCGCGAAAACCGGCTTGGGACAGCAGAACGCTTTCGGCGGCGATCTCTTGCGATCGGGCGACGTGGATCTTCTTCTCATCCGTTCCGTCGTGATAGTACTGGAACAACCCGTTGGCCCCACCGGCGGCCAGGCCGATGGCGGAGACAACTTGATCTTCGTCGAGCCCGAACAGTTTGGCGCTCGCCGCCGCGGCACCAACACCGCCACATATGCTGCTCGGCATCCATCCCTTTCGATGCAGAGCGCCACCGGGCTGGCGGTTCATCGCCGTGGCCAGCCGGTCACTGAGTTGATAGGAGATAGCAAGCGATGCGAGAAACTCTTTCCCAGTGCTGTCCACGAACTCCGCAGCAGCCAACGGGGCCGGCACAGCAATACAGGTGGCCCGAAGTTGATTGCGCAAATTGCTGTCGTCAATTTCATGACCATGAATGGCAAACGCATTCACGGCAGCAGCCTCGGCGAGCGGAAGTTTTCTGCCCGTGACTAGCTCCGTGGCCTCTTTCCGGCCTTCGGTATCGGTAACTGCTAAGAAACGATGGACCTCTTCAAGCTGCGACGTGTGGGCCACCACGCCGATCCAATCGCACACACTGAGCCGCAACTTGTGCGCGACGTTCTCGTCGAGATCCTCAAACTTCAGTCGATTGACCTCATGCGCCCAAACGACGGCAACCGGCTCTTCAGCCATGCCTGTCCGGGCGGGCAACAGAAGAGAAAACACGAAGATGGCAATCGACACCATTCGCATTGCAGAGTAAGAGCTTCTCATGGCGGACCTTTGCGAGAACAGGAATACTCTGCCTAGCCTACCCTGAGACGCAAGGCATCACCATTCTCGATCGATCGCTTCGAGCCGAAGTGCTTGACTCGGCGTGGTTTGCCGCGCAAAGTGGTGGCCAACTTGCTGCGTGTACGCCTGCGTCGAACTAGCTAGACGCACGTGCCCGAGCCGACCCCAAATGCACAGGTGACGCTTCTTTGGATATTCCCGCCGCTCATTCAGGTCTCGGCACACTCGACTACGTGGCGGTGGGCGTTTACTTGGCCGGAATCTTAGGGCTGGCCTTCTTTGTGGCGCGCGATCGTGGCACCACCGAAGAGTTCTTTCTCGGCGGTCGCCGCATGCCCTGGCTGGCCGTCGGCCTGAGCATGTTCGCAACGCTGCTCTCCACCGTGACCTATCTTGGCACGCCCGGAGAAATCGTCCGCCACGGGATTGGCATGTTTACCGCCAACCTGGCATTACCGTTTAGTTTCATGTTCATCTTTTGGGTCATCGTTCCCTTCTTCATGCGCCTTAGGGTGACCAGCGCATACGAGTATCTCGAACTGCGTTTCAATTATCCCACCCGGCTGTTGGGAGCGGGGCTGTTCATCTTGCTGCGTTTCGGTTGGATGGGCGTGGTGGTGTACACCTCGTCGATGGCAATCACAGCCATGACCGGAATCCGCATCGAGTACATCATCGCCGTTGTCGGTCTCTTCGCCACGCTCTACACCGCCGTCGGCGGAATTAGGGCCGTGATTTGGACCGACGTGATTCAGTTCTTCCTTCTGTTCTCAGGAGCTGCACTTACGGTTGTCTACGTTGCTACCGTCACCGGCACGGGCCCTGCCGAATGGTGGAACGAGGTATCCGCCATGCGTGGTGAACACACGGCTCCGCTGTTGTTCAGTTGGGATATCACCGAGTCGCGAACCGTTTTCACCTTTGTCTGTCACGCGTTCTTCTGGACCATCTGTACATATGGTTCAGATCAGGTAGTGCTCCAGCGCTATTTTTCGACTTCGTCTGAGACGGCGGCGCGGAAGAGCTATGTCATGTCGGCCGCTTCTGATATCACCCTGGCCGTGGTGCTGTGCCTGTGCGGGCTTTCGTTGTTGGCCTTCTATCTGCAAATGCCCGAACGCTTGCCCGAAGGGATGCACCCAACCAGCGAAGGGTTCGCCGATAAGCTCTTCCCGTACTTCATTGCCCACCAGTTACCGCCAGGAGTGGGTGGTTTCATTCTGGCTGCCCTGTTGGCCGCGGCGATGTCGAGCTTGGACTCGGGCGTCAACGCCATCACGGCCGTGGTCACCACCGATATTCTGGAACCGAACTCCAAAAACGATCGTCCCGCTACCGATGAGCTGGCGGTGGCTCGAACGTTAACCGTCATCATCGGCGTCGTAGCTACGGGATCGGCCTACTGGGCTTACAATATCTCCGGCTCGGTGAACATCGTTGAGTTGATGAGCAAAACGTTCAATCTGTTCGTCGGACCCCTGGCCACACTGTTCTTTGTCGGGATGTTCATTCGTCGGGCGGGTCCAGTCAGTGCGATTGGCGGATGTCTTGGAGCATTAGGCGTAACGATCATTTGGAATTACTGGCGAGAACTGTTCCATACCGAGGCTGCCCCCACCTTCACACTGGCGATTGCGGTTCCCTTGCTTTCCGGATTGTTGCTCGCCTGGTTGCTGAGCAGGGTCTTCCCTGCGGTTGATGACCGACCCTCTCTCTGGACCTGGAAAGCGGTCATGTCGCGGCTGTCCAAACAGTGATCCGGTGTACCACGCCGCCCCTTCGAGCTTGGGCCCTGGCTTAATGATGGATTCAACTCCAAGCACTCTCGACCTTCAGATTGTCTCCCGCGAGATCGATTCTTTCGTTCCACCAAAGGTGTTTGATGCACACGCCCATTTTTACGACGCACAGCACTTCACCACTCCGCCTGGAATATGCCAATCTGGCCCTAAGGCGTGCGGTTTGACAGCGTATCGCCAGCACATGGCACACCTGCTACCGAATCGCGAATTGAGCGCCCTATTCTTCGCATTGCCCGCAGCCGACCTGGATGTCGATGCGGCCAATCAGTTCACACTGCAGGAATTGAAGGGCGATCTCCGCTCACGCATGCAGTTGATGGTGACGCCGAGTACCGTGTGCGAGGTGATCGAAAAGCACGCTGCCGATCCTAAGGTGGTCGGTCTCAAGGTGTACCACTGCTTCGCCGACTGCGAATCGACATTCGAGGCCTCCATCTCCGGAATGATTACCGAAGACCAATTGCAGGTGGCGAACGACTATGGATTGACAATCACACTGCATATGGTTCGCCAACGGGCTCTGGGTGACCCGGTGAATCAAGATGCCTTGCGAGACTATTCTGAAAGATTTCCGAATGTGACGTGGATCTTGGCCCACGCCGCGCGCGGCTTTAACCTCTACGATCTCCAAGACGGCATCGACTCGATTCGAGACCTGCAAAACATGGTCTGCGATACCTCGGCAGTTACCGAACCGGAGGCACTCGCCATTGTTCTCCGCGCTCTTGGCCCCCAACGGGTGATGTACGGATCGGACTTCCCTGTGACTCACCTTCGCGGACGATGCGTGACCTTGGGAGATTCCTTCGTGTGGCTCTCGCCCGAGAATGTCGACACGAGCGCCCCTTATGGTGAAGTGAAAATGTGTTGGGTTGGCGTCGAGTCACTTCGCGCCCACCGCCTGGCTTGCCGACAACTCGGACTCAGCGATGCGGATGTGGAAGACCTGTTTCTCAACAACGCGGTTCGGTTGCTGGGAGTAAACGACACCTGAGACAAGCTGATTTAGGCAATCCAATAACCACCCAGAGCAACTAGCCCGCAGGCTGCTAACAGCACCGCACATCCGCTGCCCTTGGTGGAGATGCCATGCTCGGCAGCCAGCGCTTCCACGGCCTCCTTGGCCTCTTTCAATCCCACGCCGGTTTGCCCGCGGTAAAGCTTGATCGCTTCGATCTTCTGTCGCTCCCGAAGCAAGATCAGAACTTCCTGCTGCCAGTCTTCAACCTGAGAGCGTTCGTACTGTGTAGGCGTTTCGCCGCGCTCGATGGCTTCGACCGCCTCCTTGGTCTCTACCAGGCTGGCTCCGGTCTTCTCGCGGAACAGCTTCACGGCCGCGATTTTTTCACCGCTACGGATTAACGAAAGTAATTCGTCGATCAAGTCGGTGGTGGGCTGAGAGGAAACATTGGGTAGAGTTGCCCCGCATTTGGCACAAAGTGGTGTTCCGGCAGGATTCTCGTGACCGCAAGCAGGACAGGTTGCCATGTTGCACCTTTGTCAAAAACTGCCTGGAACTATTCGGACTCACTCTCACTCGCAGCTTTAGCTTCCTTGGGTGCAGGGGCTTGCACCGCCACTGGCTCGCTTTCCGTAAGCCGCTGAATGATTACGTACAGTACGGGAATGACGAGCACGCCAACTACCGTGGCGATCAGCATGCCTCCAAACACAGCCGTGCCTAACGCCTGACGACTGGCCGCACCAGCCCCCGTGGCAATCACCAAAGGAAACACGCCAAGAATGAAGGAGAAGGCCGTCATCAGAATGGGACGAAAGCGAAGGTGAGCCGCTTCAGCCGCAGCGTCGATAATCGAAAGCCCCTCGGCATGCCGCTGCTTCGCGAATTCAACAATCATAATCGCGCTCTTGCTCGCCAGGCCGATCAGTAGCACCAAGCCGATTTGCGTGTAGATATTGTTGTCAAAAGACCGCAACCACGTGGAGGACATGGCCCCCAGAATCGCCAGCGGCACAGAGAGAATCACGGCCAGCGGAATCGTCCAGCTTTCGTACTGAGCAGCCAAGAACAAGAAGACGAAGATAAACGCGATGCAGAACACGAACGGGGCCTGATTGCCGGCTTCCAGTTGCTGGTAAGTCACGCCCGACCATTCGTAGCCCATCGAGGGCGGCAACTGTTGTCGTGCGATTTGCTCCATGGCGATCACCGCCTGGCCCGAGCTATACCCGGGCGCCGCCTGACCTGTGATCGTGGCCGACGGGTATAAGTTAAAGTGGCTAATGGTCTGCGGCCCTACGGTTTCCTCCACGGTGAGCAGCGTGCTCAGCGGGATCATCTTCCCGTTGCGATTGCGGACTTGAAGTTGGTTGATGTCGTCAATGCGGCTTCGGTACTGTTGGTCTGCCTGCAGAAGCACCTTGTAAACACGGCCGAACTTATTGAAGTCGTTCACGTACAGCGAGCCCAAGTTGGCCTGCAGCGTGCTGAAGATGGTCTCCAGCGGGATGCCCTCTTTCGAGGCCTTCGTGCGGTCGATATCGAGATACAACTGCGGTACGGTGGTCTGCAGGTTGCTGTTCATTCGCGTTAACCGCGGATCGGCCGTTCCCGCAGCCACCACATCAGAGGCGATTGCCTGGAGCTGTACGATGCCCGCAGCACCACGGTCCTGCAGTTGGAACTCGAACCCGCCGGCATTTCCCAGTCCGTCAATGGGCGGCGGCATGAATGCAAGCGTGATGGCGTCTTCGATCTGCGACGTCTGCACAAACACCGACTGAATGATGTTGTTGATTTGGGTTTCTTTCGTCGTCCGGTCATCCCAGGGCTCGAGAATCACGAAACAGCACCCCGCATTGGTGCGGAACAGGCTGTCGAGAATCGAGTACCCCCCGACCGTGATCACATCGGCCACGCCATCGGTCTTCGCCAGGATGGCATCGATGCGGTCCAGTACTTCTTGTGTGCGTTCCAGTGTTGCCCCATCGGGCAATTGGGTGTTCACGAAGAAGTACCCCTGATCTTCATCAGGAATGAATCCGCCAGGGACCTGGACAAAACTCCCTACGGTTAGCCCATAGAACACCAGCATCACAATCGAGACGATCGCCGTCTTCCGCAAGAAGATGCCGACGATGCCCGAGTAGCCTTTGGTGCTTCGATCGAAAACGCGATTGAACGCCGTGAAGAAAACCCCATGCTTCGACTTCGAAGGACGCAGCAGAATGCCGCACAACGCCGGACTGAGTGTCAAAGCATTAACCGAAGAGAAGATCGTCGCCGTCGCAATCGTCAGCGCAAACTGCTGGTACAGCCTGCCTGTAATGCCGCTGAGCATCGCGCTGGGAACAAACACCGCCAGCAGCACCAGCGTGGTCGCGACCACGGGCCCCGTGATTTCTATCATCGCCTTTTCGGTGGCTTCCTTTGCCGGGAGGCCTTCGGTATCGATGATTCGCATGGTGTTTTCAACCACCAAGATGGAGTCGTCGACAACAATGCCAATGGCCAACACTAGGCCGAACAGCGAGAGCGTGTTGACCGACATGTCCAGCGGCATCATCACGGCCAACGTGCCGATCAACGAGACAGGAATCGTAATCGTGGGGATCAGTGTGATGCGAAGGTCTTGCAGGAACACGTAGACGGTGAGTACGACCAAAATGGCGGCCACAACCAACGTGATCACCACTTCGCGAATCGAGGAAGTAACAAAAAGCGTGGTGTCGAAGACAATCTCGTATTTCACGCCCTTTTTGAAGTCTTTGGCCAGCCTCTCCATTTCGGCCTTCACACCGTCGGCCACCGCCAGTGCGTTCGCCCCCGGCAACTGATACACGCCCAGAGCAATCGAAGGGGCTCCGTTGAGAACGACGAAATTGTTGTAGGCCTGAGCTCCCAACTCAATTCGGGCCACGTCCTTCAGCCTTAGCACGCGTCCATCGTCGCTCGTCTTAACGACGATATCTTCAAACTCTTCCACATCTGTAAGCCGGCCGAGAGTGTTGACGGTGTACTGGAAGTTTTGCCCCGTAGGGTTGGGCGGTGCACCAATCTGTCCGGCGGCAACCTGGACGTTTTGATCTCGGAGTGCGGCAACAATGTCGTTGGTGGTGAGGTTTCTCGCGGCCATGCGATTGGGGTCGAGCCAGATTCGCATCCCGTAATCTTTGGCTCCGAACACCACAATTTCGCCCACCCCGGGCACCCGGCTCAGCACGTCCTTGATGTTCAGATTGATGTAGTTGCTGAGATAGAGCTCATCGTATTCGCCCGTTGGTGAGACAAGGTTCACCAACAGAGTAATGTTGGTCGACTGTTTCTTAACCGTGATCCCCTGCTGACGAACTTCCTCGGGCAATTGGGGCTCGGCGATCGCCACGCGGTTCTGCACCAGCACCGTGGCCATGTCGATGTCGGTTCCGACTTCGAACGTGACGGTTAAGTCCATCTTGCCGTCGTCGGAACTCTTGGAAGACATATAGATCATGTCCTCCACCCCATTCACTTGCTGCTCGATTGGTGTGGCCACCGTATCGGCAATCACAGTAGCACTGGCCCCAGGATACGTGGCCGAGACCTTGACCGTGGGCGGCGTGATATCGGGGGTCTTTTCGATTGGCAAGAAACCAACCGTGATGAGGCCTGCAAGCACAATCACAATCGAAATCACGCCGGCGAAGACAGGCCGATATATGAAGAAGCGTGAAAACATTGGGAAGGCTCGCTGGAATCAGAGAATTCTTGCGCTTATTGTGGGCTGCTATCCGGCTTGGCAGTTTCGCTCGAAGTATCGCTCGCTGCGGGCTCAGCCTTCGCTGGCGGCTCTTTTGCCGGCACCGCCTCGGTCTGCTTCGGAGTTACTGGTAAGCCTGGACGTGCGCGTTGTAAGCCATTGACGATGTACCAGTCATTCGCGGTCAGCTGCCGCGGTGGATCGGCATCGGGCTCGTCGGGCATATCGGCCGGGAGAATGACTCTCATGTCGCCAACAATCTGGCCGACGTTCACATGCACCGTTTCGACAATATTGTCGCTATTCACCACAAGAACGTACTTGCCGGCCAGGTCGGCTGAGATCGCCCGTTCTTTCACCAGAAGCCTTTCTTGCTTCTGGCCTTCAATCCGCACGCGAACAAACATGCCTGGCTGCAAGATGCCGGTAGGATTGGGAAAAATGCCGCGTACCTGAATCGTTCCTGTCTCGGCAGAGAAAGTGTTATCGACATAGTCGATCGTTCCTTCGTGAGGAAATCCCTGTTCATCGAGAAGTCCGAGTTTGACGGGAACATTGCCTCGCTCAGTTGGTTTAGAACCGTTGCTTAGTTTCTCGCGCAGATATTCCAGCGCGTCGCGTTCGCTGACCTCGAAGTAGGCATAAATCTGGTCGGTATCTACGATCGAAGTGAGCAGCGTATTCTCCGATGCACCCACTAAGTTGCCCACATCGACTAAACTGCGGCCGATGATGCCGCTGATTGGGGCATGGATTGATGTATAGCCCAGGTCGATTTGGGCCTGCTCTGCGGCCGCTTGGGCTTCCTCTACCGCAGCCGATGCCACTTCGCGTTCTGCTCTGGCCTCATCGAGTTCTTCCTGAGTGATTGCCCCACGCTGGGCGAGGTCTTCACGACGTGAAAGTTGGGCTTCTGCCAAAGCAAGATCGGCCTTGGTCGAGGCCAACTTGGCAGTCGCATAATCGACTTTCGTTTGAAAAGGCGCCTGCTCGATTTGGAACAACAATTGTCCCTTCTCGACCCTCGAACTCGGCGTGAAGTTGATTTTCTCGAGAAATCCCTGCACCCGAGCGCGAATCTCGACCGACTCCAGCGCCTCGAGCGTTCCCGTGTAGTCGGCGTAGTCGGCCGTTTCCATCAGAACAGGATGGGCGACCGTGACCTCCGGCGGAGTGCGCTGCATCGCAGAATCGTCCGCAGAGTTGCATCCGTTTGCGCATAGAAGGGCTATGGCCAAGATCCAGCGTCTCATTTCACTCACTCCATTCGCCTGCCAATGCGGTCGAGCGACTACGTACAAGCAGCAAGTGCGGGCATTGGAATGAAGAATATCGAGCAAAAAGGCTGGAAAAGCAAGTACAGTACTCTGTATTCACAAAAACAGCCGTGAGCGATGTCGCTTCACACGAAGTTTCATCGCCCACGGCCTTGATTAGATTTGGCCAAGATATCGAGTGCTTACTTCGCGATTGCATCGAAAGAATAAGCACTCAAGCATCGCCCGCATTACGACTTCGACGAGCGACGCCGAACGCCGACCAGCAACAGGACCGCTCCACCGATCGCACCAATGACGAACGTCGAAGGCTCGGGCACAAGCGCTTGCTGCATCGCTGCGACACCCAGTTCTACATTTGCATGACTAAATGCTCCGGTGGGATCGTACTCCCACGAGAGTACGAACGCTTCGCTCTCGTCGTGTTGCGGGGAATCGACGGTGACTCCAACGCCGTAAACCCCGGGGCTGGCCGAATTGGGAAAGAGCGAGAACGTGCCATGAGTGTGCCAACCCGCTGGGGTTGAGTCGTAGGTCCCCCACAGCATTCCGGCTTGAGCACCGGTGAGAGCCGTGATCGAGTACGACAGGACCGGACTGACGTTCGAGTTGCCGAACGAATCGTGCGTGGGTGCTTCCATAACGAAACTGGTCGATGTTGGCACCAACGAACTGCCGTTCCAATACATCAAGCCCGAGGCGATGTTCAGATAGATCTGCGTTCCATCTGGCACCCCGTTGGCCGTTGATGTAACTCCGATGCCCGGGAGCTCGCCTGTAATAAGAACTCCGGCCACGTTGTTCAAAGTTCCAGTGGAAAGGTGATGCGGCACCGCGAGCTGGTTCCCAACGACAGAGACATCGACCGGGGTACCGTGCCCAAAGGCAACACTGTTAATCATGCTGAAAACGGCAACTGCTGAGAACATTTGAATCTTACTCATCGTGATTCCTTTTTTGGAATTAAGTATTGAAAGTGGTGCTCTTCGCTCGAAATGCGCGCAGATCGAGGCCCGAGCCTTTTGCCAGAGGGACGTCCCAGCTGGCACTTGAGGTAGATGCAGCGCGACACGAGGATCGTAGAGAGTCACCGAAGTTATCCAGCGACAGGGTGCTGCATGGTTTAGATCTGAGTCATTAGCGTTTAGTAATTAGGGGTTTGGAGATGGCGTTGTTGCCATTACTCGTAGAAGTGTGGGCTGTCAGGTTGCGCAAAGTTCTTGCCTGCGTCAGCGAATCCTTTGATACGCGTCGCGTCGATGGTCTCGACGTGTCCGTCAGCAAACAGGTAGTGCGAAACACCCGCGGAATAGTCAATCTTGTGGCTGCTCCAATGGCGATCGGGTTGGATCTCCTGAATGAGCCACAGCCAGACTTGCTTCTGTTCAATTCGGTGCGGTGTGAACCAGTTACCCGGATGGCAGTGTTCGAAATAGAAGGATGTAGGATCTCTCAAGTCCGACCCTTCGAACACGGTAATCGTCTGCGATGTCGCCTTAAGGAAGTTGATTTTCAGGCGAGAGTCGGGGCCAGGTAGAGAAATGTACGAGTTGAGTACATAACTGGTACCCTTGTTCTCCAGACGCTTATCACCTTCGAGGTCATCTGGGCAAATCCGTAGCGAATCGACATCCTCGGTGTAGGGCGCGAGCGTGTAGACCCAAGATTCTTTCTCGCCCTCATGGTGAGTCCGTGGGAAAGAGCCTTGGTTGTTCATTGTGAACTGCTCGATTCCGAGACCGATCTGATGCAAGTTGTTTGCACATTGCGTTGCCCTGGCGGCCTCTCGTGCGTAGATCACAGCCGGAACCGTTATGCCCACGAGAATGCCGATGATTGCAACGACAACCAGCAATTCAACCAGCGAAAATGCAGCTCGGGTTGCCATTCTGTCGTCCTAGGTGAGATCGCCGTAAACACCACACATATAAGTTGTGGGGCCGCTTCTTCGACTGGCGCCTTACGCACCCACGCGTGCACAACGTCATCGGATTGATGAGAAACGAGACGCCCGCGCTCGCGTGAGCGCGAAAGGAGCCAGTCGAAAGCCCCAAGGCGCAGATCTTCTAAGGTCTCCCCAATGAATGGCTTCGAGAGCCGTTTCAGGGGGTAGCACCGACCTCGGACCTATTGGCGTACTGGGAATCGCAAACCGTGAACCAGAACACGATGGGGTCACGACGAGCAATCGCCGGCCTCAAGCCGAGATCACCGCAAAGAAGACGCGCCGGATCTACGCGCGTGGAACGGGCGGTGATGGGGAGAACGACACTTCGTATCGCATTTGCAGGGCCGGCGGAACGAAGCCGGCAGGAGCGAGTTCGCGAACGTAGTCGACCGTGGCTGGCGGCGTAATCACCGCCCCCAGTGCGAGCCAAAACGATTGAAGCCCCTGGCATTTCGCCGCATCGATCAATGAAACCCACGGGGTTGCGGGAGCGGCAGGCTGCTCGGACGAAGAACCGTTTTCCGTATCGCTGCAGCAGGATTCTTGGTGGGCTTTAGCGGCCGCCGTAGCAAGAGCAGAGTCGGTGGAGTGACACAATTCGCTGGCCGCAGGGGCATCGGAAGAGCTTTCGCAGCAGTTTCCGTGATGGGATTCATCTGCGATGGCCTCTTTTTCAGCGAGTTGCTTCAGAACGAAGTCCGGCGGAGTGACACCATGCTCCCGGGCCCACACTACGCGTTGTTCGAGCGTGTGGCAGCAGCAACTACGCCAGCATTGTTCGGCCGTAGCACATCCGCAGCGGCCATGTTGGCAAGGGTACGCACCCTCGCTGGCCGCATGAGTCGATTGGGGAACAGGAAGCCCAATCAGGGCAACCAGGTAGACGACAACTGCGCATAATCCCTGAAACCGCCGGAAAACCGGGGAGATCGGGTTGAAAATATGTCGCGCTCGCATGGAGGAATGCCGTCTTTTGTGTACGGCGCCTCGTTTCTCATCAATACCGGTATATGCGAGCCAACTTGCCGTGTCAATTTCCCGCGGAAATTTTGTGCTGGTTTCTTGTCAGCCGAATATCCATATCAAAACTGGCATCACAGACGATCTCTAATGTTGAACCAGATTTCATAAAGAAGCAGGGCTGGCCACGCTAATGTGACCAGCCCTGACTTCAGTGTTTGTTATGCTTTTAAGACCGCTTACACGGTAATCGTCACACCCGGGACGGCCACCGACGGTTCGGGCGGAGCCGCATCCCACGCATACTTATTGGGCGACAGGTCGATCTCGGAATTGAGTGCCTGTTCCCAGGTCAACTGCTTACCGCTGTATGTGGCCATGCGGCCCATAATCGCGGTCATGGTGCTGTAGGCCCCGTACTCCCCTTCGTTCAGCGGTTGGCCCGAACGAATGCTGGCGAACAGCTCGTCGTGCTCTTGCTGATAGGGGTTCGGGTTCTCGCCGCGGTAACGCCAACGGGGGCTGTCCTTGGTTTCGATCTTGGCACCACTGATATCGGCCGTTCCCTTGCTACCGTGCACGTGCTCGCTGACACTGCTCCAGCAATTGGGGATGTGGCGGCAGCAGCTGAACATCCGAGAGCCGTCGGCATATTCATATTCCACTGCGTGGTGGTCGAAGATCTCGCCGGTGTTCTCGTCCGTGCGTACTTGACGACCGCCCATGCCCTGGCAACTTACCGGATAGCCGTCTTTGAGCCAGTTGATGACGTCCAGGTTGTGGATGTGTTGTTCGACAATGTGGTCGCCACACAGCCAGTTGAAGTAGTACCAGTTCCGCATCTGGTATTCCATCTCGGTCTGGTCTTCGGTGCGAGGACGGGTCCAAACTCCGGCACCGTTCCAGTACACCCGAGCGGCCACAATATCGCCGATCGCACCGTCTTGCAGACGCTTGATCGTTTCGATGTAAGGGAACTGGTGGTGACGTTGCAGGCCGACACCCAATCCCAGGCCCTTCTTCTTAGCCTCGGCAGTTGAGGCAATCACCGAGCGAACACCGGGGGCGTCCACCGCAACCGGCTTCTCCATGAACACGTGCTTGTCGGCAGCCACGGCGGCGGCCAAATGCAGCGGACGGAAACCTGGCGGAGTGGCGAGAATCACCAAGTCGACATCGGAACCAATCAACTGCTGATAGGCATCGAAGCCAACGAACCGGCGATCTTTCGGCACGTCGATCTTCGAATTGATTTCCTCATCTTTCTGGAGTTGCTTCAGCTTGTCTTCGAGATTGTTCTCGAAGGCGTCGGCCATGGCCACCAGCTTCACGTTCTTATCGGCTCGCAAGGCTTGGCTCGCGGCACCCGTTCCACGACCACCACAGCCAACCAGCCCGATGCGGATCGTGTCGTCGCCAGCTGCATGCGCCGATCGAGGAATTGCCAGCCCGCTTAGCACCGAGGCCCCCACGATCGAGGCCGTCGTGCCTTGGACGAATCGGCGTCGCGACGTGAGTAGGCTGCCAGTTTCTTGAATCTGGTCGCTCATGAATTGTTCTCCGTTATCGGGCCTGCAAAGGTATCTGATTAAGGTTCCAACCGTAGTCGTCCGCTCACCGAGAGCGATTTCATCTGCAGGTAAGATCGCTCGTTGGTACGAGGCGACTATTCACGCTCCTGCTCAGGCACTTCGTGAGCGCCCCAGTAAACTAGCTTCTCTTCTTCACTGGGCTCTTCGAGTGGGCGTACCACGCGAAAGCCAACAAACAACGCGTCGGTATGATACCAGACGCTTTGTGGGATTTGTGGGTCTTGTGCCTTCCACGACTTATCTGAGCCCCGTCGGGCTGCACTCCGTAGGGCATCGGGGTCGTCGTCCCAAGAGCCACCACGAACGACGCGCGAGTACAGTGTGGTCGGCTCCAGGTAGCACTTCGAGGCCGGCTGATCTTTCGGCAGCTTAGCGTAAGCCTCTTCATCGTACTGATCGAGCACCCACTCGCTCACGTTGCCATGCATGTCGTACAGGCCCCAAGGGTTGGGCTTCTTCTTGCCCACCGGTTGATAGGTGTCGTCGCAGTTCTCGTAATGCCAGGCGTAATCGTCCAGGTCAGCCACATCATCGCCAAACGAATAAGCCGTGGTCGTGCCCGCCCGGCAGGCGTACTCCCATTCGGCCTCAGTCGGCAGTCGGTAAAAGCGGCCCGTCTTCGCACTGAGCCATCGGCAATAAGTCTTTGCCGCAAGTTGAGTCATGCAGATGGCCGGGTAATTTCGCTTGCCCATGCCGAAGGTCATGTCGGTATACGGCTTGGTGCAGCGTGTAATCGCGTCGGCAAAAGCATCAAGTTGGGTCGGGGCCAACTCCAGGACTTCACGGCGCTGAATGTCTAACTTGAACATCCAGATCTCATAGGCATCCCACGTTACTTCGTGCTTGCCCATCCAAAACGGCTCGACCTCGATTTCGACCTGGGGGCCCTCGTCTTCTTTGCGGTCCTCTTCATCTTCAGGGCTGCCGAGTAAAACGGTTCCGGCAGGGATCGGTACCATGTCAAACGTGACATCGGTCCCCGAGATGATCTCGGTGTACGGCTTCATTTCTGCTTCTGCCGCAGCTACCGCATCAGGGATCTGAGGTGACTCGGAATACTCTGGATCTTCAGCGCGGGCACTGCCGACCAGCGGTGCAAACACCACGGCCATCAGAATCAAAAGCGTCAAGCACGAAGTCTTCTTGGAACCGAGCTGCTCATAGTGGTACGACGTTCGCAACTGGGATAGGCTGAACATGGCTGAGATTTGCAAGCTTGTGACCCTCTATCAATCGACAGCAATTCTTCAATGACAAAGCCGTACGCATTACCTAAGCTTCGTTGGCCACGGGCCAAGAGAGCAGTCGCAGGTGAACTAAGTCGGCCGCGCCCGTGGGTTTGGGTGGGGGTGGTGTTGGTCCTGCTCGTCAGCGGCACGGTCTCGCAAGGCATGGCCGGCGAAACGCTCGAACGCTTCCAATTTCAGCAGGTCCATATGGGCGTTGACTTTACGCTCATATTCTATGCTGACGGCCAACCTGCCGCAAATCAAGCGTCGAAAGCCGCCTTTCAGCGAATTGCCGACCTCGATGCTAAGCTCAGCGACTACGACCCGGAAAGCGAACTGTCAAAGCTTTCCAAATCGTCAGGATCCGATACCGCGGTCGCCGTAAGCGACGATCTCTGGCGGGTACTCTTGGCTGCTGAAGAGCTTTCGCAGCGGACCGAGGGGGCCTTCGATGTAACAGTCGGCCCTATGGTCCGGCTCTGGCGACGTGCTCGACGGCAGCACGAACTCCCCTCTAACGACCGCATCGCCGACGCTCAAAAGGCGGTCGGGCACCAGAACATTGAATTCCTGCCAGAGCAGCAGGCTGTCTTGCTGGCTCGCCCAGGGATGCGGCTCGACCTGGGGGCGATCGCCAAAGGCTATGCCACCGATGAGGCTCTGCGCGTCCTTCGCGAGTCTGCCTGCCCCAGGGCGATGGTCGACGGGAGCGGTGACTTGGCTCTCGGCGATCCTCCGCCGAATACCAAGGGTTGGAGAATCGCCATCGCCGCACGCAGCGAACCCTCTGGCCAACCCAGCCTGACTTTGATGCTCTCCAATTGCGGAGTCGCAACCTCGGGCGATGTCTACCAGTTCGTTGAGATCGATGGCCGCCGCTACTCCCACATCGTCGACCCAGCAACCGGACTCGGCCTGACCACTCCCTCGACCGTAACCATAGTCGCCCCCGACGGCATGACCGCCGACAGCCTGGCTTCGGCCGTGAGCGTTCTTGGGCCAGAGTCTGGCGTGCAACTGATCGAAGATTCGAACGGGTGCGAAGCACTCATCGTCGTCGAACAGAATGAGAAGCTAAAGCAGTTCAAATCCAGCGGCATGGATGAGTTACTGCAGATCCGTCCGTAGACCTAATAGGCGAATCTTTCACTGATGATAAGGTTGGCCCTGCTCATACAACTTCAGCCGCGAACGAATGTCACTTGCTAAGCTAGGTCGGCCACCGGCCTCGGCCAGTTCGACGGCTCGTCGCGCGGTTTGAACGGCATCTTCATACCGCCCTGCCTCGGCATACGCAGCGGCCAATGTATCGAGCCACATAGGTTCATTCTCACGGGGCGGTTCGCAAACCGTCTCAGCAAGAGCGACCGCTTGCGGTCCATTTCGATATCGTGCATCGCCAGCAGTGGCTAGCGTCCACGCCACGTTGTTCACCGCCTCTGGAGTCGAACGATGCTTCAGTACGATCTGGAAATGACGCAACGCGGGCCCTGCATCACCTTGGGCCGCGAGGGCAGTGCCCAAGTGCCCATGGGCGATGAAGTTTTCATTGTCGATCTTCAGCGCATGCGTCCACAGCGTCACATCGCTATGCCAATGTTCACACTGCCGATATGCGAGTGCGGCCATTACCAGAATTACTACCGTGCCGCCAGAGAGCACAATCGTTCGTGTCACCGGTTGCCATGTCTCGCGGCGAGCAATCAACCACGCGACGAGAATCGCCGGACCTAGCATCGCCATGTAAAGATACCGATCGGCGACGGTCGAGATATTCTGATAGTTAAACGGCACCAGCCCCGACACGGGCAACACCGCCAGCAGCGAGATACCAAGGGCAACGGCCAGCGGACGCCAGCCTGGGCGACGCCAGGCGAACCATAGTACCCCGGCGGCAAGCATCGGAACCACATAGAATCCAGCCGTGCCCGACTCACCAAGAACCCGCTCGGGCGTTTGCCCATAGATCGGTGTCAGATCGTCCGGCCACAAGACAGTCGCCGTATAGAAGGCTAATGTGTGCCCTACCACAACCGGCCGTTCCACCAGTGTGGGGACAAACCGAATGTTGTCCGTTGGCTGCTGCGATTGCGTGATTAGCGTCAGTCCCACGGCCATCAAGAACCACATGCCAAGCGTCACAAGCAATGGTCTCGTAATCTTGCCGTACCAGCCCCACAGCAGGAGAACCGCGATGGGGGGCAACGCCACGGCCGAGGGTTTCGCGAGCAACGCACCAGCGAACAACGCCGTAGCAACAACGAGTAGCATCCAAGGTATCGGGCGGGTTGGGCCCTCCGCCTGTTGAGTTTCCTCACTCGCATCCTGCAGGCTTCGCAATAGGAGAATCAGGGCCGATACGCCCAATAACACGCTCAACAACCCTCTCGCTTCAGAAACCCAGGCGATCGATTCCACCTGCACCGGATGAAGGGCAAACAACGCCGCACCGCAACCGGCCGCTAAAGGATCGCGCACAAGCTGATATAACAACGCGAAGACCACCAGCACGCATCCAACGTGCAACGCGAGGCTGCCCACATGAAACACCGCCGGGCTGAAGCTGCTCTCGGTCCACGCTCCCAGCGGAACGGCCGATATCCACGCTAATCCGGCATAGTAGGTATACGTTAACGGCACATATAACCCGAAGTATGGGCCCTGCCACAATTCGGCCAGCCCGCCCCACGAGAGAGGATCTAAATGTGGGTTCGCGTCTAGGTGCTGGTGATCGTCCCAGTCCAACAGCCCGTGACCGGCAACTTGAGCGAAAATGATGACCGTCGCCGCGATCAGAACCAAGCATACCACCAGCCCAGTTGGTCTTGCCTTTTGACTCACTTCAGGAGATCGGATTCGGTCTTTGCGGCGAGAAGAAGAGCGACGAGGCATGGAGGCAAGCACACACCGTGTTCAGGTTGAAGCATCGAGAGAAAGTCCCACTCCAGTGACAGTATTCTAACAAGCCTGTCGCACGGCAGGTATTGATCTGAAGAGGATCTAATTCGGGCTCGGCGGAACGTGCTGCTCTGAGACACTTGGCTGGCTACCTTCGGAAGCTGGAGCAGTATCGACTGTTTTATCCGACACAATCTCGCAGGCTTGTGGACCGCAGGCGGGCTTAATCTGACACCAGAAGGGCACGTAGCAGGTCGGTCCACAAGTTAGGTGCGGTGGCAGCGGGCCGCAGACCTGAGGAAGCGGTTTGCGACAATAGTTAGGGCAGCACCAGCGGCAGATGCAGTCGGGCACATCGTTGTTGCAGATCTTCGACAAGAACGACTCTCCACCGCAGGCATCTGTGGCGAAGCCCATCGCGAAGATGAGTGCAAAGGTCCCAATGATTCTGTGAGGCATGCCGATCTCCTCAAACTTCTTAATTGAATTGGTTGCTGGAAGGCTGTGGTGGCGTGAGTTTCGTGACACCGCGATTTTCAGACTCGTTTACGAGGCGGCACCGGTCGGGTTGGGGTGCATTCTGAAATTGGCTTGTGGTTGCAAGGCAGGTCCCTGAGGCGGAGGTGCCATGGGGGCATTGCCGCCGGGGGCTGGGGGGACAACTTCAATCGGCCCGGGCTCGACCGGTTCTACTGCTAGTGCGGCGTTGCTTCCCGCACCGAAGCGAATTTGCCAACCTCCGCCGAGGCCGCGATAGACGACGATAAGGCTCAAAGCGATGTCGCCCTGGGCCTGAGCGTAGGCGTCTTGCTGCTCGACCATGATGTCTTGCACTGTGAACACACGGTTGTAGCCGATAGCACCTTGCCGGTACTGAATGAGCAGAAGCTCGGAAGCCCGTTCTGCGGCGGCGACACTCTCTCGCAGATGAATCGCCGCGTTGTGTGTGTTGAGATAATCGGTCACACCGTCTTCGACCTCGCGATTCGCACGAAGCACCGTGTTTTGGTAAGCGATGGCTTTCTCTTGCGTCTTCGCCTGCTGGACGCGAACGTTGTTCTTCAGGCGGCCGTAGTTCAGCACGTCCCAGTTGATCGTCGGAGCGATAACACCTACGTTGCTAGCCGGCAGTAACAGGCGGTCGAGCTGTTGGGACTGATAGCCGATGCTGCCGTTAAGTGTGATGTTGGGGAACAGATCGGAAACGGCCACACCGATGAGGGCCGTCTGGGCCGCAACTTCCCGCTCAGCACGTCGCACGTCGGGGCGGCGCCGAAGCAACTCGGCGGGAATACCCAAAGCGATTTCGGCGGGCGCCGTCGGAATGGGGGCCAGACCGAGATAGGGCAACAGGTCGGCCGTGGGCATGCCCAAGAGAAAGCACAACTGGTTGTTCTGTTGACGCAGAGCGGCTTCAAACTGCGGGACCAGGGCCTCCGTGCGTTCCAGCACAAGCTTGGCCTGAGCCACGTCGACCTCGGTGACAGCGCCATTTTGAAAGCGAACCTCAGCAATGTGAAGGCTGCCCTTCTGGAGCTTCACGTTGTTGTTAGCATATTGAAGCCGTTGCTGGATGGTGCGGATGTTGACGTAGGTGGTCGCAACTTCGGCCACCAGCGTGGTCAACACGTCGTCGTAGTTCTCGACCGAGGCGTCCAAGTCGGCCTCGGCTGCTTCGATCGATCGACGGAAGCGACCCCAGAAGTCCAGTTCCCAAACCAGGTTCCCAGCGAGAGACCAGTCGTCGAAGCTGCGCGAGAAGTCGGGCAAGATGCCGGATAAATCGTTGGCGATGCTACCGCTGAGTTGATTCCGCGAGTAGCTACCATTGATACTTTGGCCTTGCGGGAAGATGCTCCCGACTGCGATCCCCCGCTGGGCACGCACCTGCAGCACCCGCATGCCCGCTTCGCGAAGCGTGAGGTTCTGGCGATACGCCGACTGCACCAACTCGTTCAACACCGGGTCGTTGAACTGACTCCACCAATCTGCCACCGCAGGGTAGCCGTTGCTGATCCGCTGATCGTCGGTATCGATCCACTGCGGCGCCACGGGAGCGGCAGGCTGTTGATACTCGGGTCCCACCTTCAAACCATTCCGCCACCACGACGAAATCGAGGCACCGGGAATACTGCTACAACCGGCACAGGTTAACAACAGGAGCGCTGCCAGCAGTTGGGCTAGCGGACGAGAGCGTGGGTGACGAGCTGCATCGTGACACTTTCTCCGCATGTCCGATCAGCTCCGTGATGCTTAATTCGAAGGGGAATCGACCCGGTGCAATCCTTCCAACGTTGAATATCGGGATAACCGCCGCGACGCGACGCACCGATTGTGCGTGTTAGTCGGGTTTTCCGCATGCCGGCGCCCATGTATCTGGAGTATTCGGTAAATGTTTCCATCGGCCCCGCAGCGGAAGTGCTGTCAGAAGAGGGCCAGATAGATGGGCATAGAGCTAGTTCTGAGAGTCTTTCTCACCCCACAGCTCCTGCATCGCCAGAAATGCAAAGGAAGCCGTCCAGGCAATGAGCACTAACCCCGTTATCGCTTCCACGGCGGCCACCGAGCGAAGTGAGCCCTGGGGGGAAACATCTCCAAACCCAAGCGAGGTGTACGCTAAAGCGGAGTAGTAGAAGTAGTCTCGCAGCGAGTCATCCACCTTGCCCGTGAGACTTCCGAACCTGTCTTCGAAGCTCATCCCCATCAGGACAATTGCGAAAATGAATATCTCAAAAAGATGCACCGCGATCGCGGCCACCATCGAGAACCCCATGGCAAGCACAGGCGTGTTCTTCAACCTACGGATGAACTTGCTCAGGCCGCGGAGGGTGAAGAGGTGAATGGCGACGGTGACTACAACCAAAACGCCGGCGATGAGAGCTGCAATCGCTGCCATAACATTCCTCCGCGAGGCGATTGAATCTCGTGGGAGTTAGAACGGCATCGGATACAGGTAGTTGCCATAGCTGTAACTACGGATCTCAATACGTCGCAGAATCGAGAAACTGTTCCCCTCGCCGGTGTAAATGGCCACAGCCCCCTGCACCCCTGCCGCGAGCAAAGGGTCAGGATCTTTGATGCGAATCTTCACCGGAAACCTCCCCTTGGGAAGCGGCTCCTCGAATGTCGGTAGCATCCCCATCGGCATCATCTGTCCTTGTCCGGCGGCTTTCCACACCGCTTCGACTTCACCCTCGAAGATCTGCCCGGGGTAGGTGTCCAGCGCAATCTCGACCGGCTGACCTTCCTTTACATACATGAGATGCGACTGGAAGAAGGTCGCCAAAATATAGGGCTCTTCCTCGCAGATGAAGCTGGCAATAGCGCCGATGCGTCTTCCACCCACGACCAGACCAGGCCGGGCTTGTAAGTTAGTGATATAACCATCGGCCGGCGCGTGAATGGTGGTTTGCCCCAGGTAGTACTCCTGTTCTTGTAGAACCGATTTGGCCTCGGCCACCTTGGTGTTTACGCCATCAATCTGAGCTTCGTACTCGAGTTTCGCTTTCTTCTCGTTTGCCAAGGCAACTTGAATGTCGGCCTGATTGACGACCAGTTGATCTTGCCACTGCTGCAGGTCTTGCTGGCTGCCGGCACCTTCCTTTGCCATGGCTTCGTACCGTGTGACTTGCCGCTGGGCGAACTGCTCGTTGGCTTTGGCCTGGGCTACCTGTTGCGAGACAGCCTCCAGGTTTGCCTTAAGAACAAGGACGTGTTGTTCGGCGGCCGCCACTTGAGCCTTCGCATTATCTACCCGGTATTGGTAGACGCTTTTGTCGAATTCAAACAGTGGCGTGCCCTTCTTCACGTACTCATCGGGCTTGACCAAAACAGCCGTCAGCAAGGTTGGGTCGGGCAGCCGCGGTACCAGTTGCACATTGTGGCGAATCACCCTCAAATCTTCCGAACCCGGTTGGAAGAAGCGTGGCGCAATGATAAACAGCAGCAGCAAGTGCAGCCCGAACCAGAAGGAAATCATCGCCCACAGCGGCGTGAACTTCAGCAGCTTCAGTTTGAAAAACATCAGCCACAGAAAGAACAGATATCCAAATGTGATGAGTAGACCGACTACCATGGTCCCTGCTCCGAACGGCTAGCTTTTCTTTGGATCTTTGTCTTTCGATTCGCCCTTTTCCGCTTCGGGAGCAGCCGGCTTGGCTTTCTTGCCGCTCTCCTTCTGATACTTCTCGGCCTGCTTGCGGAGTGCCTCCCGTTCTTCGGCAGGAAAACGGCGAATGTCGATGGTGTCAGTCTCTTTGATGGACCAAATCAGAGCGTTGATCCAAGGAACCACGCCCAAGAACCCGAGCCAGCCCATGAGATTCACCGAGTCGGCATCGGGGTGGTTTCGCTGGCGGGCCAGCTTGCCGGGCAGGCCGAGCAGGAAGAGCACCACGCCCATGAATCCGACCAGAATGAAGATTAGCGCAGCGAAAGTGACGTAATCGTAAAAGCCCAAAGCCAATAGCATGGCAGCATGTCCTCCAAACGCCTCAGAATCGAGCATTTCGCGTGATCTGCGTCAGCCACGTTGTTCGAGCGAACCTCGAATTAGCCCGCAGGATACATGCACCCGGTTTTCTAGGATAGGCGCAATCTAATAACCGCTTGGCCTTCTCAGAATCATCGAAGTGATGAAGGGCTCATCTTCATTCAAAATGGGCCGTGCGATTGTCTCGCGGGTGGAATTCAGCATGTGTTGGAATCACCAAGGGCGATCAGTTAGCTTGCAGCCTTCGACAAGTTTAGTGCTACCCAAGACTGAAGGCTCAAGCAATGCCGCATGGCGATCATCTTACCGTCGGGCAGCGAAAGAGGGCCTTCTTCGCGATGCTGACCATGGTGCCGTTGGCCGGGGCCGCAACCGATATCTACATTCCTTCGCTGCCGGCCATGGCAGAGTTCTTTCACGCCTCGCGATTTGCCATTCAATCGACGCTGTTGACTTACATGGTCACGTATGGGATTGGCCAAATCATCGCGGGCCCGCTTACCGATACCTTTGGTCGCCGGATTCCAGTTCTTCTCACAACAATCGGTTTCGTGATCGCCTCCGTCGGGATCGCACTCGCCCCACCGTTGTGGGCGGTGATTGCCCTGCGGGGTTTGCAGGGCATCTTGGGTGCATGTTCGGCCGTTGGCGCTCGCGCGATTGTGGCCGACTGCTACGAGGGGGCAGCCCGAACCAAGGCAGCCAACTGGATGACCATCGCCTGGGCCACCGGCCCGATTCTTTCGCCAGCCTTGGGTGGATACTTGCAGGACTGGTTCGGCTGGACCGGTTCGTTTTGGGTTCTAGCCGGCTGGGGAGCCGTAGTCGTGTTTGTCGCCCTCTTCGTGCTACCCGAGACGAGAGTTCCGCAAACCGATCGAAATTTCATTCAGGCATTCGCCATCTACGGCAAGATGGCGACCGACCGTGTGTATCTCCCCACGGCATTGGGCATGGCCTGCCTCATCTCGGTGATCTTCGGGTTCGAGGTGCTAGGACCCTTCTACATTCAGACTGATCTTCACCATGGCCCCATCTTCTACGGTCACCTGCAATTCCTGCTGGGCTGCATGTGGCTGGCAGGTAACTTCACGAACCGCTTAGTCAGTACGTACGTGAAGGTAATCACCATCATCACCGTGGCCGCCGGTGTAGCACTGCTCATCAGCGTGACCATGCTCGCGCTCGACTTCTCCGGCGTCTTCAGCGTGCTAGCCCTGGTCCTGCCCGCCGGTGTGATCTACTTCCTGATGGCCATGATCTGGCCCAACGGCTACTCCACCTGTTTGGGCCGCTTCCAAGACGCCGGCGGCAGCGCGAACGCGCTGGTCAGCGGTCTGTTCATCATCGTCAGCGCCACCTTCAGTGCAGCCGCCTCCCTACTCCACTCCGCCACCGCCTGGCCCCTCTGGTTGCTCTACATCTTCGTCACCGCCGGCACGCTCATTTGCTTCCGTGGATTCCTACGGAAGGAGTTTGATTACAAGGTGGAGTGAGGGTGGCATCCCAACCGAAGTGGCGGTGACATCAACAACCCCGGTCAGCCTTGCTTAGGTGGCCAGGATGGCAAGAGCTGCAGAACTGCAACGGGCACGTCGCCAATTCGTGCATAGTTGCTCCGAATTCGCTTTGCCCAAAGTAGTCGCTTGCGGCCCGCGACGTGAGCTATCAATAACATGGTTCCAACGATCGTTGCCACAGGGGTCAGCAGGACAACCTCTGGATTTTGCTTGATGACTGAAATGACTATCAAGGGAATCATGATCAGTCCATAAGTCACGAACGCAATTCCATAACCAATCCAGCGGGCATGCAATTCCTGCTTGCGATGTACCTCACACACTGGAAGCTCGAGAGTCACAGTAGGCGAATAAAAGAAGCCAAACCCCCGGAGAGGACGCTTCACACGAATTGCACACTTCAAGAGATCCCCTTCGGGCTCATCCCCACAAACAACACATTTTGGAGGAAAGCAGGCCACCTGGCTGCGAGCAATCAAGTCGGGTGGATCATGCCACACGTTTTTGATCTCGGGCGGCTGAGAACCCTGAGGATCTGTCCACTCCTGCCAGCTCTTGTTCTCGCTCAAGGTTCTGCCCCCTGGTATGAGTTTCTAGATGCCAATGTCTACACAAACATACGTGATGCTGACGTGAGCAGAAATCATCGCATGCTTGTATTTCCTTGAGAGTTCTGAAACGCCTCAGCCAACCGCTTCATCCCCTCTTCAATCGAAACTATCGGCTCATACCCCAAATCACGTCGGGCGGCCGTAAGATCGTACCAGTGAGAGGTCGAAAGCTGCTTGGCGACGAACCGCGTAACCGGTGGTTCTTCAGTGCGGCCAATCAAACTGTAAAAACCTTCGAGCGTAGCCCCGACCGCGTAAGCGATTCCCGGAGGCACGGTTCGATGCTCGGCCGGCTGCCCCGCGGCGGCTAGAATGCGATTCACGAGTTCCGCCATGGGCAGCGGTTCTGCATTGCTGATGAAGTACGTCTTCCCCGCACAGGCGGCGCCCGGCTGAATGCGATCGATCGCCAAGATATGAGCCTCGGCGGCATTGTCGATGTAGGTCGAGTCGACGAGGTTCTTCCGCTTGCCCAGCAAGCGGAGTCGCCCCCGCCGGGCACGATCCACAATCCGCGGCACCAGGTGTGGGTCGCCCGGCCCCCAAATGAGATGCGGCCGTAAAGAGACTGTAGCCAGCCCATCATCGTTGGCCCCCATCACAATCTTCTCCGCAGCGGCCTTCGTGCGCGGATAGTCGGCCAGAAAATGCTCAGGGTACGGTGCCGACTCATCGACGTTATCCTCATCGCCGGCCGAGAAGATAGCGCTGGGCGAACTCGTGTACACGAGCCGGTTGATCCCATTGCCACGGCACGCATCGACGACATTCCGCGTGCCCTCGATGTTGGCCGCATCGAACGCCTCGGAAGGTCCCCACACCCCCGCCTTGGCCGCCGTATGCACCACCAAGTCGCAACCCGAGGCAGCTTTCCTTACGGACGCAGCGTCACTAATGTCGCCTTGAACGATCTCAACCCCCGCTTGTTCCAACTCGGGAGCAGCACTGCGTTGGAACGCTCGCACCTCATCGCCCCGCTCCAACAATCGCCGCGTAATCGCCGAACCAAGAAATCCTGCCCCGCCGGTAACCAACACCTTCATACTCGCTGCCTCGCCGCCCAAACTCCCAACTTCTCACGGTCGATCTTGGCATTGTGCCGCAGGTCGACCGGGAAATCGGGATGAAAGAAAATCTTTTGTATCGCCCTCGTGTGATCGAAACGGGAGCCAATCTCCAGCAGCTCGCGGCGAAGCTGGGCCTGGTCGCTGCTTCCAGCATCCGCCTCCATTTGCACACACAGCCCCGCTTCAACGTCACCGTCTCCGCTTCGAAGTTGAACCAAAGCTGTACGAAACACCGAAGGGTGTGTGTTGAACACCGCCTCGCACGGGATCGTGTACAACTCACCGGCGGGAGTGATTACGCGGTGGCTCTTCCGCCCGCAGAACCAAAGACGATTCTGCTTATCGATATATCCAAGATCGCCCATGCGGTGGTAAACGCTTCCGTCGCCAGCGTCGATCTTCGCCAGCCGGGTCGACTCGGCCCGCCCAAAATACTCCCGCGTTACTTGCGGGCCATGAACGACGATCTCTCCAATCTCCCCCGGGTCGACAAGCAACTCGTCCGACCACCGCTCAATCGGTTCATCGCTGATCCGGATAATCCCAATCGACATGTTCTCGGTCGCCCGTCCCACACAGACACCCCACCCCTGCTCGGTCAGCCGTCGCGTTTCGCCGAGCACTTCGTCGCTTCCAATGGAGGCCACCGGTAGCGATTCCGTTGCACCATAGGGCGTGAACACCTGCGCACTTGGTTCGAGCATCGAAGAGAACTGCTCGAGTACCGATGCGGCAACCGGCGCCCCAGCCGAAATCACCCGTCGCAGCGAAGGAAACTTCACCCCACGCGGTTCTCCCCAGCGTGCCACGCGGTTCAACAGCGCGGGCGAACCAAACAGGTTGGTCGCACCGAAATTCTCGATCGCCTCGGCGATTTTCTCCGGATCGACGTGCGCCGGTCGGGTGAAATCCATCTCGGGCACGATGGCCGTCATCCCCAGGGCCGGAGCGAACAGGGCAAACAGCGGGAACGTCGTCAGATCGATCTCCCCCGGCTCGATGTCATACGTGGTTCGCAGTTCGTTCACCTGCGCTTCGAAGTTGCCATGCGTGTACACGGCGCCCTTCGGTACCCCCGTGCTGCCGCTGGTGAAGAGAATCGCAGCCATTTCATCGTCGAGGGTTTCCACTAGAGGAGAACCCGAGGAACCCTTCCCTCGCTCACGCACTTGTTCCAGCGGAATCCCACCGGTTGGCAAACCACCACTGGGGCCGACGAGAATTTTGGTGCGAATCGTGCCCCGTCCCCACCCCAACACCCGTCGGGCCATGTGTGCCGCGCGAATGCCGACGAACGCCTCCGGCTGGGCCTCGCGAAGGCACTTCCCCAAGTT